GCGACTCCACGGCCTCAACCCAGGTGCTGCCCGGCCCAGGCCATCAGGATGGAGGGGCCTGGGGGTCGGTCTGTGGCCAAGTCCGGGGTGTGAGCCAGGCCTCTCTGCAGGGGGAGTGCTGGGAGGGGCAGTGCGCTCACCTCACCGCTCAGCCCCCGGCTACCACTGCACACACCGCTTCCCTCCCAAAGGGCGGAGGCACCAAGGACTGCTCCAGGGTTCCCAGCCCCCGCCTTCGGGTGTCCTGGCCCCGGGGCAGGTGCCCAGGCTGCCCAGGCTGGCCGGGCCAGCAGACATTCACGTTCACCAGGTGACGGGCTGGGCACACCTCTGCCCTGGGGCTCCCCGGGGCACCCCACCGGCCAGGGCAGAGCAGGGACCACATTTAGAAAGGCTTGCTGGGCCCAGGGCTGTGTGGGCGGGTGTGCAGGGACCTGTCTTCACGTTGCACTTGGTCACCATTGTTTGCCCCGTCTCTCCGCCCCGCCCCCACCACACATCTGTGGGACTTTGGCACCCACCTCCCGCGAGCATTTAATTTTTACCCAAGTGCTTGTTAAGTTTTCTCTTTTGCTACCGGTTGTGACCTTTGGATGGGAGGGAGGTGGGGGGAGGGGTGTATCCTCGCTGTGCACATGCTTGTCTGTGCACACGCCTGTCCTGCTGGGCTCACGCCTGTCCTGTGCACACGCCTGTCCTGCTGGGCACATGCCTGTCCTGCTGGGCTCACACCTGTCCTGTGCGCACGCCTGTCCTGCTGGGCTCATGCCTGTCCTGTGCACACGCCTGTCTGTGCACACGCCTGTCCTGCTGGGCACACGCCTGTCCTATGCACACGCCTGTCCTGCTGGGCTCATGCCTGTCCTGCTGGGCACACGCCTGTCCTGCTGGGCTCATGCCTGTCCTGCTGGGCTCACGCCTGTCCTGCTGGGCACATGCCTGTCTGTGCACACGCCTGTCCTGCTGGGCTCATGCCTGTCCTGCTGGGCACACGCCTGTTCTGCTGGGCTCACGCCTGTCCTGTGCACACGCCTGTCCTGCTGGGCCCAGAGCCGGAAGGAGCAGGAGGGTGCATGTGGGTGGACTTTGCAGCCAGGCCCAGGCTCTGCCTTGATGGGGTGCTGTGAGGGTCGGGGAGAGAGGACCTGGGAGAGGTGTTGACCTGTTCATAGGACAACGCTGGCCGGCCAGGCTGTGAGTGGGCTGGAGACAGACAGACAAGGGTTTCGGGCCTGACCCATGTGACTCCTCCCTCCTCCTCCACAGTGCACAGGCCACTAACCCGCTGCATCACCCTCTTACCACCCACCCCTGCTGTCACCCTCAGCTGTGGGTGGGCCCTCAAGGAGAGCCCTCCAACCCCTGCCTCCCCACCTGCCTGGGCCTCCTCCTGCTTGCCAGGCCCACAGCCTGACCCAGGACCACCCGCTTCCTCCCAGCCCCAAGCCAGGTCCACCCCCGATGCCCACCTTTGTGGCCTATCTTACTGCTGCTTACCCTGGCCTGCCTCTGCCGCCTGCACCCCTGCCTGCCACACTGCTCCAGCTGAAGCGAGGGCTGTGCTAGACCACCCCCAGCTCCCTGGCTCCATCAGCAGGTGCTGGTCCCCCCTCCCTCTCAGCTCTCCCACTCAGCCCATCTCCTCAGCTCTCCCTCTCAGCCCCTCCCAGTCCTCCCCTCGCCCCCTCTCAGCCCATTCACTCCTCCCTCCCCCTCCCCCATCTCAGCCCTCCCC